TTTAATCTCTCAGTGTAATGTAACTTCATTTTGACACCTGTGATACAAATAAGCTTGAGTGGGTCAGGTTGGGAAACCTGGTGAGTACATAGGGTTTTCAACCCACAATAATATAATTATTATGTTAAACATCAAACAATCAACCCAATTACCCATCCCCATTATCTTATTTACTCTTAAGGATCTACCCTAAGAATTAGCTATTTCCCGTTCATTCATTCCTAAGGATCATCCTAAGGAATCGACACGAAACCCATCGTTGCCAGGGTTTACTCAACAGGCACTAAGTCGCATAGTCGCCAGGGTTTAGGCACTAAGTCTCATAGTCGCCAGGGTTTATACAACAAGCACTAAGTCTCATAGTCGCCAGGGTTTAGGCACTAAGTCTCATAGTCGCCAGGGTTTATACAACAGGGTACATCTGGTGAACACGCAGTTCAAAACATCTGGTAAACACTTAGTTCAAAACATCTAGTGAACACTTAGTTCAAAACATCTGGTGAACACTTAGTTCAAAAATACCTAGTGAATACGTAGTTCAAAAACACCTACAAGTTTCGAGCCTGCTAGCATTCCACTGGACTGTCTAGAATAGTCCGTGGTCGTCATCTATACTCCGCTAGATGGCTAGATCATCTTAAACATTGAGGCCTCTCATCATTTTATCACACATCAACTATTTCATCTACCCATGTTTTATCCAACATTTTCGTAGATATAAAATACATATACAGTTTAAACCATTTAAAACATGTATAAATCGTTCATCCATCATAGATATCAAGAACACAGATAATATGCACACATAGCACGTAATTTATATTAAATACTTTATATCTATGTGTAAGATGAAAGTAACTATGCACTCACTTGTTAAGGTGGTGATTCCGAACTCAGACAACGCTTCACTTCTTAAAAATAATTTCCTTCGACGAAACCTAGTATTATTACCACTAGATTTTAGTCTAATATTTACCATGACTAATTATTAGTCTTATTATTATTATTATTATTATTATTATTATTATTATTATTATTATTATTATTATTATTATTATTATATAAGCGTTTAAACAATATTTTCCAACCACTATGTACAGACAGGGGCCAGACATAAAACACTGGAGGGCAGGACCATTTTGGCATATAGCACTTCTGAAATTCAACAACCCTATGCGGCCCTTTAAACCAGATTCCTCGTACCGCGAGTAGTTAAAAAAAATATTATAACAACACTTATATAAGTCATAATAATAGCCAAATATTTATTATAAGTTCATAATAACAATACTAATTTTAAATATAAGCTATATTTAAAATAGGGTAAGGATAACTTACTTACAAGGGGGTTTTTTCTAGGAGTTGGGCTCTGCAGGGGAAGAACTTCGTCGCTGAATCTTTCTAAGAAAGATTCTTGTAGCGCTTCAGCGCTTACCTTACTATACTAAAACTACAGAAAGAGAAGTCGAATCACGAGGGACCGAAATGCTCGGGGGATAAGAAGAGAAAGACTCTTGAATCAAGAGAATGGTGCAAGAAATATGAGAGCCCAAGGCTCTTATTTATAGTAATTGAATTTTCAAAAACTACCCTCCATAGTTACTTAATGACCTTATACTTATATAAATGACTAAACACCCCTTTATAATACTATTTTAAATAGATTTAATAATATTTGTACTAAACTAATGTCGAAAGTACTCAACACTAGTCTTATAATGACCGCATCGTCGATACCTTTCTAACGATATATACATATGTATATATATGTGTACGTATATATGATTTATACTTTATTTTAATACGTAAATATGCTATTATAATTTGTAATTTGTTCATACGAATTCTGTTTTTGACGCTTTTTATATCCACGCGTAGGTGGAGACGTACTCTACAACTTTCATTTAGACTCCGTAGGCTAATTTTGACTTTATTTTTAAAGTTATATTTTTAACAGGTCGGGACAGGAAAAGTCCGTTAAAAATTCATAACTTATTCATCCGACGTGCGTTTTCGTCTGTCTTTTTACCGTTGCGCTACTATTAATGAGATCTTCAATTATCATTTAGGTTGCGTTGGCCAGAAATCGATCGATCTAAAATTCGAATTTCGAGCTGTGCACTGCTATGCCAAATCTTAGAAAAATCATAACTTCCTCATACGAAGTCCGATTTTGACGTTCTTTTTTTGTATGTTCTTGGTTTAACGTATACTAAAGCTTTTGTTTAGATTACTAAGGCTAAAAAGTCTTCTGTCTTAAATTCACTATTTACGTCTCCCGATGCCGTGCCGGTTTTGCCGTAAAACTTCGACGGGCCATAACTTCTTCGTTATAACTCGGATTTCGGCATTCTTTATATGTACGGAACCCTTGTAACATATACTATGACTTGGTTAAGATTATTCATTCTAAATAATCTTCTATTAAAAAGACATTTTTTTACGCTTATCGCCTCGAAATTGACTAGCCCAGATCTGCGGGCGTTACAACACCAGAGGAACAATTTCTGACTTGGTAAGCGCGATAACGAGTGTAGAATACCTCAAACATTCGACTATTGGTTGGAGAAACCCGTCGTACATTGCTGGGTCAATATCGAGGATCAAGTTTTGATGGGCCTTGAGGTTGAGGATTGAGGACCGAGCCTCGTTTTCTGCAACTGAAGGAGTCTCTGAAGAAGCTGCCCTTGAAGCTTGATGAAGGAGATGATGAATAGTCGAAATCATTTTATACGGTGTAGGAGGTGAGAGAAAATCGTCGATTGGTTGCATCAGTTACTGAAAAGTCGCCTAAAAAGGCGTGACTGACAGCTGTGACGTTTGTCAGGCGGCGTCAAATCAGCGTCGTTTCAAATTCTCGCGCCCAATCTTATCCTTTATGATGTTCTTTCAGTTACGCGCTTTCGCAGTTGATTCTTTTATGAACTTTCGCAATGAATATCCATCAACATGTTTGCGAAACTAAAAGTAAATTTGAGTGCCACGAACCAGACTATGGAAAATCACAAGTGTTAGGTCATAAATTGTGGTTTATACTTTGCTTTTCATAAGCTATTAGAGTTCTCGGTCTAGGACCGAAAACACCATGTTTTGGTGTTGTTTGGACCAAAATCACATGTGATTTTGGTTAGGCTCAATATTGTATTGTTTGGTTTTGGGCTTGGGCTTTGCTATTAGGTCTAGGTATAAATAGTGTTATTTTAACCTAGATAGGAGAGTTAGACGTTCTTGGGGGCTGCCACATGCATTGGACGTGAGTTTAGAGAGAAACAAGAGAGAAAAGTGTGTAATCAACATCTTATGTACCCGACTATTCAATCTAATAGTGTGCATTGAAGATTAACTATTTGTGTTCTTATTACATATTTGATCTTACATTATTCACTTGATTGGGATTCCGCACCATCAAGTGAATCCGATTGATTTGTAGGAGAATTTCGGGACTTACAATTGGTATCAGAGCTTCGTGAAGGTATCAATCTATTCAAGAACCTTGGAAACCCGTTTTTAGCATTTTTGAGAACTTTTTCTTAATTGGAGATTGACTAGTTTCTATTGAAATTAATCAATATTTGCCTGATCATCGATTAACTGTTCTTGAAATTCTGGAAGTTCATCGTGTTCTTCGTAATCTTCATCTGAATTATTGGAATTATCCTGGATCCTTATCATTTAAATCACGAAACTTAAGGAATTTCGGTATAACAAATCAAGGTGTTTTTCAACATCTTTAAGGGTGTTCGGTGAGTGTTTTGGTCAAAGTCCAGGATTTTAGGTCAAAGTTTAGACCAACATTTGCCTGTTTTCGGTAGCATCTCTAGACCGAATTCTTTAATGTGTTCGGTCAACCATATTAAGGTTTTTGGTCAATAACTCAGTTGACTTTCATTGTGTTCGGTCTGCCCTTGACTTTTGGTTATTTTCGGTTTGATTAATTGAAATGGATTCTCAATACAACACTTCAATACATCAAGAGTTGGACTCTATTATGGGAACTACCACTCGATCCCTCTACTTCTGTCTGCTGATGGATTTCCGGAATGGAAATTCAGAATTGAAAAATACATTAAAATGAAAGATACCAAGATATGGAGGAGCATTCTTAGAGGTTCAGTCAGGATTACCACTACTTTGAGTGATGATGAAGAGACAGTTGTTGATAAGAAGATAGAAAATTACACAGACGAGGACTTTGAAAAGGTTGAAGAACATGATAGAGCTCTTGCCACTCTCACAATGGCCTTATCTCCGGAGATTACTCAAGGCTTTAGACAATACGAGTCTGCAAAGGATTAGTGGGAGGCTTTAATTGAGGTCTATGAAGGGAATGAAGACATGAGACAAAGTAGACAGGACCTACTTAGACAGAAGTTCAACATGTTCAATCATGTTTTAGGAGAATCTTTTGAAGCTCAGCTGCAAAGATTTGTTACTCTTACCACTGAGATGAGCACTACTGGGATAAGTCTACCTCGCACTGAGATCAACAAAAAGTTGTTGAATTCTCTTCCACGCAGTTGGGACATGAACGTGGCTGTAATCAAGAAGACTAGGGATCTGAGCAAACTTAGCCTTGCTGAATTGATGGCCATAATCAAAGCATGTGACATGGATGATAAACAACGTGAAATCAACCATGTGACTTCTTACTCTGCTGCAACTCTAGGAATTTCATCAAACAATGCCTTCTCTGCTCAACATATCCATTCTGCACATCCTGTTGTGTCTCATCAACATATGGCTGCCTCAAGTTCTTCTGGATCCAACTCTAAGTCCACAGTTTCAGCCCAACTTTCATCGAATCCAAAAGAAGCTGAAGAAAACTTGGCTCTGATGGCTGGGTTCATGAAATGTTATAATGCATTACTGGCAGGAGATTTGGCCCCTCCAATCTTGGTTGGAGAACTGGATCAAATTCATTCTGAGGACGTGGAAGAGATGGACATCACATGGCAAATTGCTATGGCTATATTCAGAGCAAAGAAGTTGACTCAGCGCACATGAAAGAATTGGTTAAATTTGGAAAGTTTGCAGAGACAAAAGGTGTTCAAGCTTCTAGTACTCCAATTGCAATAGTAGCTGAAGAACATGTAGCTCTAGCAAGATCAAATCTCAGTTCTTCGTTTAAGGTTGTTGATGATTCTGATGATGATGATGCTAATGATGATGTTGATGATTCTGATGATGATGATACTAATGATGATATTGATGATTCTGATGATGATGATAGTGATAGTGATGATGATAGAATGGATTTTCGTATGTATGTACCACCAAAGGAGTCGATCAGTAAGGATGTGGATACTCCAGCTGAGACAGAAAAGGATGTCAATATCTTTAAGCAGTCAAATGATCCCACACCCAAACAGATGGATGCTCTCATTGCTCAACTACAGTCAACTGCAAGGAAGCCTCCCCAAGCAGTTTCTGTTATTTCTGATTCTCCATCTGAGAGTGATAAAATTGATTCAAACGCCTCCTTAGTGCCAAGAAAGAGAAGACGTAAAGATCCAAGGCCGGGAGTGCTGAGCTAGTACAACAGCCATCTCCAATTGCTGAGCCCACTCAAGTTGCTTATGATGATCAAAGTCCGATTATTGAGCCCGCTCAAGTTATTCAAGATGTTCGAAGCCTAATCATTGAAACAGCCCCGGTCCAAGAAGATGTTCAAAGTCAAATGGTTAATGAGGAAACATTTGCTTCGGGAAGTTCTTCTGCCCCACCTCCTCCAGAGCACGATGTTGCATCTGTGAAATTGGCCAAGTTACTTGCTTTTTCAAGATTCCATTTCTCAGTCCAAAGGAAAAGGAATATCTATTGGCTCCAAGCAAGGAGGTGATGAAGACTCCCATCAAACCGTCTTTGAGCTTAAACAAGAGATTATGCTTTTGAAGCAGGAGTCCATTGAGAAGCTGTTACGTCCCGATTTTTCAACACAAAATTTTTCATTTTTTTTAAATATATATAAAACACAAATCCAAAAGCCCATCTTTATTAAAAGATCATTATCATACATTTATTAAATATAAAATAGAGTTTTAGCGGAAGTCTAAAAACATTATTAATTTCTTCGATGTGAGTACAGTCACGCTGGAGCCTTTCCATGATCAGAAGAACAACCTAAAAAATAGTTATTCAACAACTGTAAGCCGATGCTTAGTGAGTTTCCCAGGATACCATATATCACAATACATATACATGCATACAAACAATGGCTCACGACCTTTTGCCGATCCACCAATTGGCTCACGACCTCTCGCCAATCCACCAATAATATGTGTATCTAGACTTACGGCCTACCTGCCATTTCGTCGTCAACACACGGGTCTATAGGCTCCCGACCTGTCGTCGTTCCGCCGCCAACCCCTAACTTAACCGTAATAACTTAAATATAATGATATTTAAACACATATATATTTACACTTTCGACACTATTCTACTAGTTCAAGTACAGTAATAATAAACACATAGAAACTATACTTTCGACTCTACTCAATAACTCGAGTATAATAACATAAAACACATAAAGACTATACTTTTTACTCTACTAGCTCTATATCCTAACATACATGGATATATATTATAATATATAGTATAGTGAGATAACTCACCTGAACACTCTTGAAACCGTCAAGTATATGATTTTGCAGACAATTTGACCAACACGTATCAATCTCTTGTGAAATTACGTTTTATTAAAAACTTCCTATATTTCCCTCTTACTAATATGTAGAAAGATATCATAATTTGGTTCTTCATAAGAGCTTTATATATACCACATCAAAATTTATGATGACGTAGAGAAATCGTACAAACAATTAAATGGTGTTCTTCACCTGTTGACACGTTTATGCCACTTATCCTTAAATTAAACTATACACATAGGCTTTAATATGGCGACTATTATTTGATTGTTCCTTAACATGCAATCCACCTTATCTTATCCAATTTACATGTATACGTGTGTACTATATATATATCTATATACAAATATGCATATTTCTTATTTCTTAAAAACCTTCATAAATTATATTTAATATAATCTATATATAACCATGTATATATCTACGTATATGGATATATGTTTAATTAAAGTAACATAACCCTTTTAAACCAATAAGCCATACACATGTTTTTGTTTTTATTTATTTGTATCTTCTTATATATATAATTGTAGTTTAAATATATTTGTTATATATATATATATATATATATATATATATATATATATATATATATATATAAAAGTCAAACAAATAAATTCTCGACTAACTCAAATAAACGTTTATAATATATAAACTTTAAGTCATTTTTTACAAATATTTAGTCAAAATAATATATAAGTCAAACAAATAAATTCTCGACTAACTCAAATAAACGTTTATAATATATAAACTTTAAGTCATTTTTTACAAATATTTAGTCAAAATAATAGAAACTATAATTTATGAATTATAGAATCAATAAATTTCGAATTGGCTAAATATATAAAAACGATATATTATCATTATCGAATATTACTCTACGGTCTATTTAAATTCAACAATTGATAACTAATTCGATATATGTATATTTACGTCTAATTTACAAAACTTTGTCCAATCAAGTTATATATCCACAACACAATTATATATTTTATTGATATATACATATATCTTTGATTAAATGTATGATCACTTATAATTATATTTCTCTTTCGGTCAATATAATATAAATTGTAAGCTATGAAATATATGTTAATAAATTTTGAATTAATATAATATTGGAGTATGAAATATAACTCGATATATAATGTATAATAATAGATAAGTAACGTCGTAAAATAAAAGTAGTCAATTATTATTGAAAATACGAGTGTTACAACTCTCCCCCACTTACCAAGATTTCGTCCCCGAAATCTAAATAAATAACTCCGGGTAGTTGTTTCTCATCTCTTCTTTCGGCTCACACGCCCATTCTGATCCTTCCCGATGTTTTCACTATACTTTTACAAAACCTATTATTTTGTTGCGTAATGTCTTTATCTTCGTATCCAAGATCGCCTTTAGACGTGAAATTTCGATTCGTTTTGTGACTAGGAACACTGTCTACTCGTTAAGAAGCGAGTAATTAGGGGAATTTACATATGACATCCTAACTGAATCTTATTTCCTAAACATGCCCCTATAAAAGGCTTATGGTATACCAATATGGCATTGTCTTACAACATCTTTCTATGTTATCCATTTAAAACACACACGAACCTAGATTGCAAGTGGTATCTTTACCTAGTTCTGGTGTTCCAACATCCTGAATTATAATCAAATCTGCCATAACTGGTTCGAAAACTCTGGAACCAATACTCTAATATTGGTGATGGACTCATTATAAGGCTTGCTCATCTTTCAATCTAATAGATTATAATGAACACTAGACCACCAATATCCTTCTCGCAAGGCTCTAACTACTCTACCTTCATTGGAACATAACTGATGTTCGATCGATCGCACACACACACATCCGGGATAAGTCGCGACATTATCCAACTACTAGGACTACGATACTAGATCGTTGTTGTCATCATCCTCTATCGGGTGTAAAGACTCACGATCAACACCTTGGTAACCGTTATATCACCGTTATGAAAGAACCCATATATCATGCCTTTTGATGTCTATAAATCACAACATGCCTTTTCTACTTAGCCTCTTGAGGCTACAACCGATCTAAGACCCTTAACTTATGTAGCATGGATGCTAAAGTCTAAACATTGCCCTATATTAACCTACATATTTTATAGATTCGATTATAGTTTTATAATGTCTTACTCATTTATCAATAAAAGGAATAACTAAACCAAACACGTAGTATACCCTGAAGTCTAAAATAATATTGTCGCGTCACTAAATACATACGTAGTCGCACTCGACCGTGACCATCAATCGAACATACGTACCTAGGAACTTACTCTAACTTCTTTCGATCTTATGAGTCCTTTATTTTCAATCGAACTTTGGATCCCAGTAAACTTGGAGAGCTTAAACAAGTTTCTGACGATATCCTACAGCTTAACTGTCATTCTAACTCCCAAAGGAAATCCTTGGATCCTCTTGTTGCTTGCAATTGAACTTTTTACTACTAAAATCACACTTGCACTGGTGAGGTGTCTCCATGGCTGAATCTCCAACAACCAAAACTACTTACGCAAGCGTTAACGATGAGTCGTTTCTTTATCTAAACCTTACTAATCCATTATAGGGGTCCTTATTTATCTTCACTGCTACCGATAACCTCAATATGAACTGGTCACGTATGGATCAATGACTCAATTCACCAATCCTATCATGTATACTGTTGGTACATTAGTATACTTCGGAAGGTATTACTACCTCTTTTAATGGGCACATCCCTTTTCAAACGATCTCTTCCTATGAGTCTCTTGTCTTACTTATACCCGCCTTAAATGGTGACTCGTAAAGAAAACGCTCTTACTTCTATTGTCGCTTTTACTACCGTCAATCCTTGATTTAGGTTTACTAGATCCTTACTGTGGCTTAACCGATCCTTAGTGTAGCTTAAACCAAACTCTCTAAGTCTGATATATGTCTTAAATGGTCTGTTCGTTTTTCTACACGAAATTATTCGATGCTCCTTATGGTTAATTATATGACCTAATGAATTTCTAGTCAAACGGCTCCTATGCTGCGAGGATCAATCCTATATACTTGAACGTGAGAACCTATATGGTTTTCTTGGCCATCTGAGCCGAACCTGGGGATCTAGTAACTCTTGGATTCTACCTAACACTAGAAAGGAAAATCCAACGATTCCTTGAGAACCATTTTGAGACACATATAATCGTATGGGTATTCTTGCAGAAGACTCCGTTCTTCTTTTACCTGTAATAATTAAACTGAAATGGATAATTTCCACCTATTCGTGTCACAAATTTCCTGGACTTTTGTCGTTGAAACCAAAAGTCAAACTTCCCTTCGCTCTCTCGCTTCAGGGGTCGATTCTCCCCCACTTGGGTTCGACCCATCGTCTACTACTGCTCATCACCGATCCAAACTAGCTCTTCCAATGCTATCTCCTTTTGACTTTGAAGAAACTCATGTTTGTCATATCCAATAACCTTTGATATTTCCATCATAGTACTACTACTTGTATTTATCGTAAGTGATCTCCTCGTATCGCATACCAAAACAGTTTGAAGTTTTTCCAAGCACAACGTTGTCAAGAAACGCACCGATGCATACGTATAACTAAGGGTATAGGAGGATATGGCTAACTTAGTCAAAATACTAATAACAATGATGGTTGCTAAATCTAATACCCTCCTGTTACTCTCTGGACCAATCAACTTGCTGTCTTCCCACTGATCCTCTCATAATGGTGATCTCAACCGTTTCCGGAACGCCCGGATGCAAACATATGGAACACACTCGCATGTGTCTTTTTATACTCTCTATAATGAACTTCACTTCCCTAATCTCTCGAGCGAGAATCTATTGGTATTAACCTATTTGCCGATCGATGTGCCTGAACCTGCACA